AAACTATAGACCTGATATATGTTGTTACACGTATAATTGACAATATATTTGATGAAAGCATATATTTGTTGATACTTGTTGGTAATATAAATTGTATTGTAGCATTATTAATTTATGTAATATGTAACATTGTGAACTCCTGTACTTCCAAACTAATTTTAATAATTACTAGATAATAATTAATACTTAACTACTGAATAATAATTTATAATTGTTAATAATACAAATTATAATAACCCTGAATTAATGTCATAATAAGTTAAATGTGATGTAATATTGTAGTTTATATTGATTTTGTTACTTACACCTGGTAGTGCTGCAGCGGAACCAGGTTATGTGTACTAAACATGTTAATAAATAATGATGATGATGATGATGATGATGCATACTATATAATAAGAAAAGGGGAAAAGGTGAAGGCCTATTAAATCCCATACCAAAAGGGGATGGTCCTTTGAGCACATACCATGTAGATTTTCTCGGACCACTACCCTCAACGAACAAAAACTACCAGCACATATTCACGGTAGTAGATAGTTTTACTAAGTTTGAGCGAAACACCATCTGCCGGCGAGACGCGACTTCGCGAGAGGAGACGACGGTTGAAGAACGCGCGAAAAGACGAAAGACGAGAAAGAAGTCCTACATTTGTTTTTTTATAATAATCACAATATTTTTTATGTAATTTGTATTCCTTAAAATGTTCCTGTTATCCAAATCTTTCTTGTTTCAATTAAAGTTTTTCAAAAGGCAAAGAAAAGTCTCACATACAATTATTTTTTAAACATCTTTTGATAAAATAATAAAATTAATGATTGCCGATTATAAAATATTTATCGTTTTAGGTTAAAAGTATTAAATAAACTTATTCTTTGCTGTTGTTAACGCGTCTCAAATGCTNTTTCATTGCGATTTTCGACCCCCCCTAATTAATTAAATTTATATATAATAAAATCTATTAATTAAAAAAATTAAAAAACTATCGGAGGTCGTTTTTGACATCAGAAACTAGCTTTAAATAACTTTACCGAAGGAAAATCCGTGTGCTACAACTTAGAAACCATGAATGAAATTTGATAAAAAACTCCCATTAAAAACAATTAAGCCTTAATCGAGCCTTATCAAAGGCTAATTAAAATCGCGATAAAATTTTTTCGCATGGGCAAAAAATTTTGAAAAAATTTGGAAACCTAAAAAACATTCCAAAAATTAAAAAAAAATTTTCAAACATGGCCTTAAGGACCGCGTTTTATGTAAGGCTATATAGCCTGCCCGAGTTAACTCGGGCGAAGAACTAAAGAACTGTTTTTGCGTATGATTAAAAACATATTACAGTTTACGATTGTTTAATTTTTAGTTTAATACAAATTTAAAATAATATTAAAATTTCGAAGTTCACGAACAACAGAAAAAAAATTAATTTACAGAGATTCGCTAAACTTTGTACATCTGTCTTTTTTTAAACAAAACAAACTGCAGCTCTCTAGCTAGAGTGGGGGAGAAGTTATTGCCATTAATTACACTATGTTTCTTATTACCCAGAGGGGAGAGGAGTCGATTGTCATCGTGAAACAACGCCGATTAGTGAGCAACCGATATGTCTTTCACTTATTTTTCGAAAAATAATTAAATGTATTCAAAATATTTATGAATTTGTCACTAATTTAAAAAAACAAAATAAATCTTACTTAGAATAAAAAGTATTTCTATATTATTTTGATGATTATTGCAGTAATTGACCATACAACGCAAATTTGTAAGCAATTGTTTACGTATTTTCTCTTATTACGTAACTGCGAAAATTTGACTTTACCCTCACGTATATATAAACAGTTCTGAGTAAAGTTCTTGTTTACAATGTACTCTGTCTCCCTATATGACTAACTGTGGGGAGTGGGAAGTGGCTCGGATATTTTTAGGTCAAAGTTTATCAACATACTTTTATAAGAGTGAATATTTGACATTTTTTACATATTTTTTCAGCGTTTTATATAATAATACCCTATAATAAATGATTATTTAATTTTTTCCTGCGATTACACAATATCCGGAAGTAATCAGTTTCCCGGAAAATTTTTCAGCTGGAAGCTTTTGATAAAAAATCTTCTTGTCTAAGTAGAGTCAAATAACATGAAAACTAGTATAATTATGATCTAAAATAATGAATATAGCTATTTTAAAATTTTTGTTTACATAATGACTTTAATCACGTGGATTGGTTCTTCGCGGGAAAATCCAGACCAGATGGTTCTGAAAAAACTCTCTTTCGTTGAAGTTAAATCAGTCATAATATAAATTACCAATTAGATGTAATAAGCGTAGAAACAAAAATTTTAAAGCCAATTAACAGCAGGAACGTCTTCCATTGACTTACTATAGAGAGGTGGAGTTTCCCGGGAATATTTGTTGCTAGATAGTTTTAAAAACATATTTATACGATTAAATATTGTCGAATTAGCTGATTTAAGGTCTTAAAACGTTAAATTAGTTAATTAGAGCTAAAAAACTATTTAAAAAGCAAATTTATTGTGATTGTTTACATTTTACTTTGAAGGTTGAAGGCGGGACTTTTCGCGGCAATTTTTCCTTTTACAAGTTTGTGATTAGTTACAGTAATGTCAACAAAGACAGAAGATACCCAATAAAACTTTAGAGTTTCCCTCTGATTGTTTTCAACCAACTGTCTAGTTAACTTCGAAGATTTACTGTAAATGGTAGGGGATGTATTTACCAAAATATTTATGGCCCAGGGGTGGTAACAAAACACTTATTGGCTTAAACAAAGTCAATCGACCTACAAAAGAGCGAATCATAGCTAAAATCGAGGGAAACTCAAATATAACGCGAATTATTGAAATTTTTGATTAAAATTGCACTTTTGCAGTTGTTGCATCTTTTCAAAAACGAATGGTCACGTACTAGCGTGCAGAAACCGTGATAGTGCGGTTTCTGCAGCGAATGGTTAGGTTGAAAACGTTAGTTTTTCAATTATATTTCTCAACAACAAATTAAGGTGTTTTATTTTCTGTGTTTACTTGCTGAGCACTTTTAATGTTATTGATAATATAAACATTTTGTTTCTTTATGCATTACCTTCTATTACAGCTGCAAACTTTAACACATGGAGCATGTGACAAAATATTATTATATCGATTATTACTTTTTTTATATGTTTTTACTATAATTAGCTTATTGATACAGTAGAGCCTCGAAAACTCGGCACTCGATAACCCGGCACTCCAGATAACTTCGCCACACCCTGGCAGGGCAAAAAAATCCTTAGTTAATTAATTTTCATGATAAAGACAGCTTTATGCCTCATAAAGTATTTTTCTGAGGTCTGTCTTCAGGTAAATTACTGCACAGTGTATTCATTAATTTTCATTTTCATGTAGTAAAGGCTCTATGCCTTCATAAAAGATGTACTTTTCTTTTGTTTAAGGATATTCGGGCAGTTTATTCTTTGTTGTATTTTCAAACAAACAATACATACAAATATAGTACAGTATTTTCTGAGGACTCCACACTCGTACTTATTTTTTTTAATGCCATTCCCGATAACCTGGCATTGTCACAAACTCGGCCACCCTTCGTTTTACATTAGGCCGAGTTTTTGAGGCTCTACTGTATTATCCAGCATTCCAGATTATGAAGTGTTGGATTAATTGACTTTTACTGTATTATATTTTTACTTATTTAATAGAGACCTAGGAAACATATTTGTGCTGAATGTGGAAAATTGTTTAAATATGAATCGCAATTGAATGCACACAAACAGGTACATTCAAAAATTCTCTACGATTGTACTGTTTGTGGTAAATCTTATAAATCAATTTATTCTTTAAGAAGACATATGAGGAGACACTCTATTCATGAGGTAACTAATAATCTTATAAAGTTAAAAATATATTTAATTTTATTAAATACTTTATGTAATTTTATAAAATTTTATTAATATTCCTGTAGGAAAACGATACGAACGTAAGATCAAGAAGATTGCCACCACGGACATCAAGAAGATTGCCGTAAGCATCCAATCTCAGCCATCACATTAATCACTTGGAGGTCCGGCCCCCAGTCAGTAAACTTAATCCTAATTTGGCCCTTCTTCAGAAAAGGTTGTGCATCCCTGGATTAATTGACTTTTACTGTATTATATTTTTACTTATTTAATAGAAACCCACCAAAACAAATATTTGTGAGATATACAAAAATAGTTTCAAGTATCCTTCTCAGCTAAATGCTCATAAAAAAAAGCATTCAAACATAACACACAACTGTATTATATGCTGTAAATCCTATAAGTACTTACATACTTTAGAAAGACATATGAACACCAAACATTCAACTGAAGTGGTAGGTAATAATGTTATAAAGTTAAAAATATATTAAGTAATTTTATAAAATTTTATTAATCTTCCTGTAGGAAAACAACGAAACAAATGTAAGTAATATTCTTAAAAAGTTAAAAAATATAACATTTAACAAAAGGAAAAATGGCAAAATTAGACTGTGCGTGGACTTTAGAAAGTTGAATCAGAAAACGGTCAGAGATCACTTCCCCTTGCCTTTGATTGAGGATGTGATAGATCGTTTGGAACAATCAAAAGTGTTCACGTCGCTCAATTTAAAAAATG